GTGCTGTGTAGGAAACCCCCCCCCCAAATTCCTGAATTTCCTCCAGTCTGACCTGCAGCGACACCACCACGGTGTTCGAGTGGGTCTGCACGTGACGCCCGCTCTGGCTGCCTTTGGCCTTCACAAACTCCTGCAGCTGTGCGATTTGCTTGTTCAGGCTGTTGATGTCCTGTGCGGGGAGAAATAAACCGCCTAAGGAGGGAGACCAGGAAGGAACTTGACACAGAGGTCCTTAATAGAACATTTCCCCCCTCCCGTGTGGCTGGCTCTAACATGTTCTCCGCTGCTTTCCGGTGGCTTACAATTTACAGCTTGCTTTTCTTACAAGCAGGAAGATTTTAACAAAAGGATGGGAGCGGTGGAGCAACGGGACCATTTCCCTGCCGTTCTGCAGACTGCCCCAGAGCGATTCTCTCACCTGTTTGACGATATAGGTCAGCTCCTCGATCTCTACCGCCTTGTCATCGAACAGGGATTTCCGCTTGGCCACTGAAAACACAGAGTCGGAGCTTCGATGATGAAGCCCTCCTTAACCCCTGCCCAAGCCCTGCCCTTTCTCTAATTCCAGCTTCGATATTAAGACTAAAGACCCTGCGAGGCAGGGCTGCCGCCACACTCTTGGGGGAGGTCTTATAAGGGACCCGGCACACTGCTGATTTCAAGCCATCAAATCAGAGTAGCAGCCATCCCACCCACCCCCCAACCTCAAACGGAGAGCATTATCTGCCACATAAGCCCTATCGAGGGAAGCAGCTGTCTCAAAGGACTGCCTAACAACAATCTGATCGTGGGTCTTCAGTGCCCAAACCACAAACTCTGCCCACTGCTGCGCTGAAAGTACAGAGAATATGGAGTGTAAAGCAAGTTCCATGGAATTGATCAATGATACCTATTTATTATGATATGGCATGCTGGGGCAACTTTGCTTTTATTTATTCAGAACATTTACTAGCCGCCTTTCTACCTCGCAGAACACGGCAGCCCACGAGGCAAACAGAACGACCAATACAAAAAGAAACACATAAACGGCCGCATTTTAAAATCTCGGTGAGGACTGCCAATAAATAAAGACTGAAGGAGCCAAATGCAGCCCTCAATAAAACTGGCTTCAACTGCCTCCTGAAGAGCAGAAGTGAAGTTTGGCCTTTGACAGCCAAAGCCCCAAGAGAGCCACTGCCCATCGGAGGAAGAAGAAGAAGAGATTGGACTTATACCCCGCCTTTCACTACCCAAAGGAGTCTCAGAGCGGCTTACAAACTCCTTTCCCTTCCCCTCCCCACAACAGACACCCTGTGAGGTGGGTGGGGCTGAGAGAGCTCTTGACAGAAACTGCTCTTTTTCAAGGACAGCTCTGATAGAACTACGGCTTGCCCAAGGTCATCCAGTAGCTGCAAGAGGGGGGGAGTGGGGAATCAAACCCGGTTCTCCCAGATTAGAGTCCGCGCACTTAACCACTACACCAGGAGACAGGACTGCGCTAGATGCCGGATGAATGCATTTTTAAATCAAAGCTGTTGTGTCACTGAATTTAAAAGCCTCTTCTTCGAAAAGTTTTTTAAGTGGGGGCAAACTAGAGTTTCAGGTAGGGTGGAGCACCTATTAGCCCCTCCCTAGCTGTGGCCTCAATCCACAAACAAGCACCAGGTACTCTGCTCAGACTAATATTCACCCTCCCACGGACATTTTCATAAAGCAGCACTGAAGGCCGGCCGAGGAACGCCCCGTTTCAGAGGGCTTCCTCATTCTCTTCCGCCTCATCCAGCCCTCCCCAAATACTCACGGATTGTTAATTTCTCCAGCTTGGCAAATGTGTTGCTGAGGTCCTTCCCAATGCGCCTGAGAAGCACAAGCAGTCACGAGTCAACCACAAGGGCAGTGCTCACACAACTTCTACCAATTTTGTGTTAGTTTCATCATTTGTTTTCAAAACAGAATTCAGAACTGCCAATACGCCTGGCTTTAAAACAATTCATCCCAAGCACGGTTGAGTTCTCTTGTCTGCAGAAGATATGCGGAGTCAAAAAATCCAAGAACATATCCTGCCTCCGCTAATGATGCGAAAGAGATGAAAAGCCGCGATGACCACCTCCCCCCAACAATTCTATTCACTGAACCATAATGTTCTAAACCAGGGTTGGGGTGGCAAGGAAAGGCATTTTAATTCAAGTGTGCCTCCCCGTGGGGTGAATTATGCAACCCTCCTAATTTGGATTACTGAACACAGGATTTGTTAGTGCAAAATTCCAGCAACACCCACAATGATGACAGAAGTTGAGGGGTTTTTTTTGGGGGGGAGGGTTGTTTGGGCATGGTAGACCTTGGCATCAGCAGGATTTCTGGCAGCCCCCACAGTGCCCCACACAGTGAGTCCCTCTGCTCACCCCAATCAGACCTAGCCCAGGCACTGTATGGAAACAGAGAGCACGAGCTGACCAATGTCGGAGGGTAACAGCCAGACTTTGCTGAGCCACAGAGCTGTGCTTGCGCCTGGTTGTGCACAGGGAGAAGCTAGACAGCTCTTGTAGGGTATCCCACCCGACCTCATCTCTTACTGTCTCCCCTGCTGGACCACCTCTGCGCAGCAAAACTCACTTGGCCATGAGAGTGAATTCGCTTCTTTGCCGTACAGCGTTCAACATTGGTTTGTTCAGCTGAAGCCCATTCTGAAAAGACGGGACAGGGATAACCATTAGCATATTAGATGCAAGAAGTCAGAGGATGGAGGGAACGCCCCAACTACCCTATTGTTGCTGGACAGAGGACAAGACCTAGTGGGAGAACGTAAGCAGAAAGACCCAAGTGCGATCCCCAGTGCTGCCAGTTAAAGGACCTCCGGGAGCTGATGTGGGCAAAGAACATTCCTCCATCTGAGAGGCTGCAGCACTGCCAGGGCAATACCACAGCTCTAGCTCGGTCGAAGGCAGCTTCAAGTGCTCACATTGGGCCAACTTCTTCTGTGGGTAGCAATATGCATGTTTTTAAAGAAAATGTGTCTCTCTGTTCACTAAGCAAAATGCCAGTCAGCCTTATATATGAATGTATTTGGGCGGATCCTATTCCTATTGTACCCTCCAGTGAGCAAAGCTAGAAATCTTCCTCCAACTTCAGTGGCTCTTCCTCCAATGGAAGAACCACTTAAGTGGGGAAAAGGCTGGATCCATACCATTGTGTTTTTACCTTGCTTCTCAGCCAAAACCCATGCATCTGTTTTGCTCATCACAATGTCTTCTTAGAATGTTTTCGGTGGCTCACCAGCCTTTTCAGACACGGCTCCATTCTTGTGTGATCTCTGCCCTCTCTCACACACAGGAAGCTGCCTTCTATTGAGCAGGTGGGTCTACGGCCCAGTGCCGGAGCATCTACTTTGCACGCAGAAGGCCTCAGATTCAACCGCTCGCACCTGCCATTAAAAGGATCAGGTGATATCAAAGACCTTTACCTGAGACCCTGGTGAGCTGCTGCCTGTCCAAGTAGAAAAGACCTGAAGGCAGCTTCATGTGTGTTGTGTGTTAGTCAGACTGTTGGTCCATCCGGGCAGTCTTGTCTACTTTGGCAGGCAGCAGCTCTCCATGGTCTCAAGCAGAGGTCTTTCACATCCTCTGCTATCTGATCCTTCCCTTTGAAGATGTGGGGGAACGAACCTGGGACCGGCATACAAAGCAGAGATCTACGGCTGAACCACGACTCCTCCCCACAGTCCAAAACTGATCTCCACTGCCAACCTTAAGGAAAGCATGCAAGGGTATTGATTCAAGAGGGTTTTCTGTTCTGGATGTTGGCAGGTAGCAGGTGTGCCCGCTCATTAATAGGCTTTAATTGTTTATTACAGCTTTTTAAATAATTCATGATATGATTTTAAAAATCTGTTCCTGAAAGCTGCCTTGGATCTTCCGTTTTTTTGTTTGTTTTTTTGTTTGTTTGTGGGGGGGGAGAACAGGCAGGAAGTCTGGTCCTGAAGCCACTCACAGTGACTGAAATCCAAAACAAATGTTACCTGCAACTCAGTACAAAATGCTCCTGGGAAAGGTGGTCCCAAAAGAGACAAGACTGAGTTTAGGTTCAATAGCCGCAGTGACGACATCTGATAGTTAAAGAGATGGGGTGCTCAGCTAGAACTGGGTCCAAGCCTGAAGGAGGGGGGGGCCTGGTGGCTGCCTCCTCTTCCTCCGATGGCCTCAGCAGTGGCAGTCAGAGCTAAATCCAGCCACAATGGGAGAGTGCTGACCAAATATAGCATCCTGGCTACGGCCCTCCAGACACTCAGATAGAAAGTTCCTCCCAGCTCTGCTTTACGAGAGCCTTTTGAATGGAGGCGGCAGCTTAAATAGCCCAGACTAGCCTGAACTCATCACAGCTTGGAAGCTAAGCCAGGCTGACCACAGTCAGCACTTGGATGGGAGACCACCAAGGAAGCCTGGAGTCACTATGCAGAGGAAGGCGATAGCAAGCCACCTCTGTTTTGTCTCTTGCCTTCAAGACCCCATAAGGCGGAATTTCATGGGGTCCCCATAAGCTGGGTTGTGATTTGATGTCACTTTGTTATTAGTTGTAGTATTTAAATGGAGATTGCAAAACTGCCCCTATGGCCTTCGGCGTCCAAAGCTTATGCTCTGCCGGTGCAGCCTGAGTAACTTCACCCCAGCCAATGCCCCAGTGCAAAAGGTATTTCCTTTTCTCTTTTGCATCTCCAGCATTTCTTGGCCAATGCTGGGATGTGAATGTGAAATACGGGACAGGGCCTATCACAGCGCTTGGTTGACAGTGGTTTTGGTCAGACCCAGGTCCGGAGCTACAGAAGCAGCCGAAGTGTGGCACTGACCCCAAAGTTTGCACGGGCCAGGGCAATGGCACACCACGCAGGCTGCCCCCAAGCGACACTCACCTGTCTGCTTTGCAAGGACTTGCAGGCGGAGAGGAACTCCTGGGTGCGATCTTGACACGACATGGTGTCCAGCTGGAGCGGAGGCGGTGCTGCTGCAGCTGCAGCTGGGGCAGTGGTGAGCGGGGGCAGAACTTGCGTCTGGGAAGGCCCCAGGTAAACGCCTTGCTCGGTGTTTCTAGAGCCGTGTCGTTTCCTCGTATTCATGGAGGCACATAACCTGGTGCTTGGAGGGAAAAGGAAAGTGGGCGGTCAGCACCCAGCAATGGAAACACCATCTTCTAATCTGGTCTCAACAGACCAGGTGCTCAACCCCCTTTCCCGCCTGTTCAAAACGCCAGGATGGCTGCTGGCTAGCTAACCTGCTCGTTAGGCTCAGGAGGACGGATTGATGGTTGGACAATGCAAGCTTGGAATGAGAGTGAGAACATAAGAACATAAGAGACGCCAAAGTTGGATCAGGCCAAAGGCCCATCCAGTCCAACACTCTGTCACACAGTGGCCAAAAATACCAGGTGCCATCAGGAGGTCCACCAGTGGGGCCAGAACATTAGAAGCCCTCCCACTGTTGACCCCCCCCCCAAGCACCAAGAAGCAGAGCATCACTTGGCCCCAGAGTTCTATCTATTACCTTGTGGTTAATAGCCATTATCTAATTCCCTTTTGAAGCCGTCCATGCTTGTAGCCGCCACCACTTCCTGTGGCAGTGAATTCCAAGTGTTAATCAGTCTTTGGGTGAAGAAGTACTTCCTTTTATCCGTTCTAACCTGATCGCTCAGCAATTTCATTGAGTGCCCACGAATTCTTGTATTGTGAGAAAGGGAGAAAAGTACCACTTTC